TTCTTTGCTCTCACTTCTTTTCATGGTCGAGGCCTGCCTCCCAGCAGCTCGACCCAACACTCATGCTTCTTCCTTGCTGTCATCACGCTAACTTGTCGTCTGCAAAGAAACGCCAGCCTGACGATCGGATGCAAAATTTGGCGTTATGCCGATGTTATCCCTTGTTGTAAGTAATTAAAGGGTCTTGGTTATTCTGACGAAGACGAAACGAGCAAATGCAGGTTAAGGTCCCTTCTTGTAGAGCTGCAGCAATACAAACGGGGTAAAAAAAAGCAGTGAATTAAGGATCCATAAGGCATCGTGTGGACTTTGGTGCAGGTTTTTCCGCACCCGCAAGGCCCTCAACGCCACTGAGTATTTCGCTTAGCCCGAGCGTTAAAAATAAGGGGACGGAGAGGAAGGGGCAAGAAAAGACGTTTTGGCCTTCCTGGGACTGCGGCAACCTGCTGCGAAGCAATTACCTGCGGACAATAACTCCCCGCAGCTATGGCTTCGCAGGACACCCTTCGCTCCGTCGGGTTTATGTGACTCACTGGCCAGTGCCACTAACTCTGAAACGGCGAGCGCCCCGCTGGAGAGGACCCTGGCCAGGAGCTGAACCCGCGCCCCACCTTCTGTGTCTGAGTCAGCTGGCTTGGCAGGGCCCACTTTCCCAAATGATACCGTCTGTTCCGAGGATAACCGACATGCGGAAACCGAAACTGGCGCATTTACAGAGAATGCGTTTTTCATGAGTGGGGATGTAAAATCCCTACCGTCTCTGACATCCCCGTCGGTATCACTGCCTTTGTTTCTGCTACTACCCTTGTCATCACCTAATGCTGCTAGCATCGCCTCATCAGTTCCTCCTTTACTCGTCAGGCGAGCTTGCTCCCCATCAGGATCAGAACTAGACATGCTCGTGTCTTCCCCGACGTGCTTCGCGCTTTGTGTTTCGGTCGGCAGGCCAGCAGGGCAAGGGGTTGGTGCTGCCACATCCACCGGGCTCGTTCCGTCTCCAGCACGCATCCTGGCACTCTGCAGCCATGGGTGGTAGTAGAGCTCTTCCATAGAGCTGCGCTTCGCAGCATCCACATTCAGGCAACGGCGAATAAAATCAATCGCGTTTGCCGAGACGGGACCGTTTGTCTTCGCTGTCGGCAGAAAAGGTTGGCGTCTGTCGGCAACACATAAATGTTCGGTTGCGTTTGCGGTTGCTGCCTCCGCCGTATGTGTGGGGGCTTCGCTGGTGTCTACAGGATTCAAAGCAGTTTGCTGGAAGGCCATTGTCGCCTCCATCTCCAGTTGTGGCGTCGGGCTTCCGCCGAGCGCAGAGTCAAACTGACCCCCCGCTGCGTGGACAAAATGTGGGAGGCTGCCAGGAACGACAGTCTTCGTCGCTGCACTACCGCCTTCTGTGGAGGCTTGATCTGCTGAAAAAACTGACGCATGCGTCTCTTCCCCGGGATCCCAACCAGCATGTATTGCCGTGATGTTGCCGCCGGCAAGAGTGCTGTGAGTATACGCCGCCTGGGTGTCCCATGTGAAACCGGAGTCGGAAGAGGCCATGCTCAGCGGATGCGGCTTGGGTTTACCACTTGGCTGTGGATTATTGCCTGTTTCGCAGGCATCGTCAGCTACGCGGCACGGAGAACGCTCACCCAGCGCCGGGTGCTCTGCAACTTCCTCAGGTGGGGGGAGTGACGTAAATGACCTGCACCCCCGCGGCTTTTCTGCGCCAAGCGGGCGCAGGTCATTCGCATCTACAAGCTGGAACCTGCCGTCCCTGAAAGCCCCCATCTCCTCCTCCTCCTCCTTCGCACCATCCAGCACTGCCGGAACCGGCCGATGCAGTGTTGTTGCAGAACCCAGCGGTGCGCCCTTGTCCAGGCAAAGCTGTGAATTAGCCCCGCCGCCGCTCGTTCGTTGAGGGTGGCTGCCGTCTTCAGGCACCCCGCAGGCGCTTCGGGGCTCCGCCCCAAACGGGTCGGGATCGGAGAGGATGGCCTGCCGCTGTGAGCGAACATCGCGCGCACGCCAAGGCAGTCGTCCCATAAGAAGCACAAACGCCGTGACGCCCAGAGAGAAAACGTCTGCCTTGAAGAGGTCTACCTGGGGGATGGCGTCTGAGCCCGCCGCTGGTGACGTCGCGCTGACTCTTGTCGGCTTCGGCGGGGAAAACTGCAGGGTGGGCTCTTGACCGGCCTCTTCTTCCGCATGATTGCACGGCTCTCCGAACAAGTCTTTCTTCAACGATGCTGAAAAGACGGTGGAAATCCCTTTTTTCACTCCCTGCGTCAAGTATGAAGATGTCGTCGCAGACACTATCGTCGTGCAATTTCCGTTACTGCTGCTACAACTACTGGATTGGCGCGGACACGAAGGCGCCGCCAGCACTTCTGAAGACACCAACATCTCTGGCGGCAGAAAGGCCACAGTTCCCTCACGTCGCACACGCACAGCCGAGTCTCCCACGATAATAGAAACACCAAAGTCCGAAAGCTTCGCATCGCCCTCCGCAGTGAGTACAATGTTTTGCGGTTTAATGTCACGATGGGCGATGCCGAGTTGGTGAGCGTACATGGCTGCCGAGACAATGCTGTGCATCACACGCACAACCTCATGCTCGGTAAGTGCCTTCCTATCGCCCGTGGGAACCACAGTGCCATCGTTCTCCATCGACAGCAGTTCGCCAAGCTCGGCGAGTTCCAAAACCAAATAAATCTTTCGGCTTCTCGGGTCATCTACCACTTCCACGAGTGCCAAAATATTGTCGTGTCGCAACTTCTTCATGATGGCAATCTCACACTTCACCCGATGCAGGGGAGAGTCAACCCCTAAAGCCCTTCTTTGCAGCCTCGCTCGATCCATCACCTTCATTGCGTAGTATATCTTATCCTCAAGGTTGTAGCAAAGCATCACCTCGGAGTAGGAGCCCACACCAAGGTTCCACCTGGGATAAATCACATATTTATCGTTGAGCAGATGCTGATATTTCCCAACCACTTGTTCGTGAGCATAACGACACTCCACCACTTTTTCCCTAACGGGACGGGAGCGGGTTCTGCCAGAATTGACGCCCACAAGCTCCTTGGGTTCCGGAGGAAACGAGTCCGGTGGCCAAAGAGAAGTTGATTCATTACCTGGAAAGGATCCAGAAGCAAAATTGGTCGGAGTTTTTAAACCATACTTCTCCTTCGCGCTATGCGCTTCGGAGCAAACACACACGTTCGTCAAAATTGGATTACTGGAGTGAGAACCCACCTCCGTAGAGCCATGAACTGTGACACACAACGGGGGTTTCTCACTCTCGCGTGAAAGATGCTCTGACACCGCCGAGTTTACCACCCTTATCTTCCCACTTTGATGGGTTTCACTGGATTGTTTACCCAAAGTGCTGTTTGGAGGAGACTGCGAGATGGCCGAACGTGCCAGAGCGCAATTAGGGCACTTCCCGTCCTGCCGTAGAAGTCCCTGGATAATGCTGTCACTGGTGCAGCTATTTTTGGCATTGCCAGTCGCTACGCTGCGGTTCAACGGGTTGAAGTCGTTGTGAGTACGCATGGAGGAGTAGCTCTGTGGAGTCATGGGCTCATCGAGCGTACTTCCCGTCCACGCAAGCTCATCATCATCCGGATCAAGTCCAGTCCACCTGTTCGGGGGCACGGCACTGATTGACGGAAAACATATAATATTTGAGCTCCACGCTGAGCACGGCACAAGGCAGCGGCAGCAATCCTTACTATTGCTATTGTGACTGTTGTCGTCGTTTTGACCATCGTTTAATAGTAATGTGTCATGCTTCAACGGAATGTTGGTGGTTGCCGTTTTCTTTTGTTCCTCCTCCAACACGATATCGTCATCTTCGATATCGCTGCGATCCACGCTATGCGTCGCAGGGGAATGCTCTGCCCCGCCCATCCCGCGTTGCTTTGGCGCTCCCAGAATCGGCAGATTAACTTGCGAGGAGGCCATGGGACTGTCCTCCTGTCCATTCCCCAGGGCCTCCGCGCCTGTTTCCGCAGGCGCCTCTGTCCCTTCGCCGGGCTCCGCAGCGACGGCGTCCTGCACTTCCTGTGTCACCAGCGGGGCTGGGCTCTGGTCCAGCGATTGCACCCGTCTTTTCCGCAAAAAGCAGCGCTTCAGAAGGTAGTCGGCAAACACCATGGACCCCGCCACTCCTCTACCGAAGCTCCCACAGAAGGCAACTGCCACCCAACGCACACGGATAGAAAGAAAAGCAAAATACTTCCGCCGACCTACACGACGTGTTCCTCCGCTCTCGCCAGAAGACTATTCTCCTCGATGCCTACACTCTATGGTGGCTTTGCTACTATTACTAAAACCACGTCAATTACAGCAGCGGCAAAACCAACAAAGACCGCTTGCCGTGGCGTGTGTCTGGCGGTTGACCTTTTTTATGATGTGATGCAAGTGCTCTCTGCGCGATAAGCGACGCCCCGCCTCTGCTACACCAGACTTGACAAGTGCACTTCCTTACTGCGCTTTACTCTAATCCTGCTCCTCCCAATCTCCCTTACCTCTCTGTCTTGCAGTGCAATAAGACCTCTTTCACGGCTTCCCACCTAACTTTTTGTTTGACTTCTGTTTTGAGTCTCTCTGCTTTTGCTCGCGTTCCTTCCCACCCAAGCCCAATGTACAAGTAGAGATGTGAGTATACGAATATACACAGGACTATATATTGTTACCGTCGCCACTCGGATCCACTGGCACGACAGGCAACCCACTCTCTCTTTCTCTGGCACACACACGCACCGATAAGCAAAGGATGGTGAGTGAGGGCAATGGCCTTTTCCCCTCTTATTTATTTCTTTTTTTTTTCGTTTTTCCGTTTCTTCTGCTTTCCTGTTCACGGTGTGCTATGAGAGTTTTCTTTATATATATATATATATTCCCTTGTGGAGGTGGCGGGGACTGGCCTCGTATTGTTGTTATTATTGTGTTTTGACGTATTAATGCTTCACACGCACTTTTAACGCGAATAGCGGTTCGTGGTGGGTCCTTCCTATAGGTATGTGGCCAGGTATGCGCTTTCACGTAAACCCACTGGGCTTGCAAGCAAGGAGAAAACAAATTTTTAAAAAAAATGTGAACATAAAGAAGAGGAGGAGATGCAGCAATAAAAGGCATGTCGGCATGTCATATCCGCCTGTTGCGATGAGGATATGGGGGCAGTGGGGGTGTGGCGGGCCAGGGGTGCGCGCGAGAAAAAGAAGCGAAGAGAAAAGAAATTATCGTTCCCATCCATCCCATAGAAAAAGCCAAAGAACATGATTTGAAGACATCGTCATTCTTCGCAGTTTTCTCTCTCGGAAGCAAAGCGATCACGACGCGTGACACATGCCGACAACAGATCCAACCACGGTTGCTTTTCTATGCCTCTTGACTGTATTGTCTTTCGCGCCTATGGCAAGGGCGACAAGAAAGGAAAGGAGAAAGAAAACGAAAAAAAAAAAACTAGAGGAAC